AGTTCAACAACATCAGAAACAACTCAAACCGTGGTAACAGGAGAGGCAACAGAGGCAGAGGTTGCTACAACAACTTCCATCAGCGCCCGTTCTACAACAACTGGAACACTCCACCTTTCTGGTACGGATCATACAACAACACCAACTGGAACCCTCAACAGCAAGCTCAATTCGCACCATGGCAAGCTCAGCCTCAAGTCATGTATCCTCCCCGTCCATATGCTCAGCCGGCACAGTCACAGACATCTGCAGAGGCTCACATGGTGAATACTAATCTTCAGCCGACAACAGACTTTGCTGAAGCATTCAATACTATGACGCTCACAGACCCATCTCAAAATGGGTGGTTCATGGATAGCGGAGCAACTTCTCATCTTGCTTCATCGTCAGGTATACTCCAATATGTTTTTAATAAAAGCACCAGAAATATCGTCACAGTTGGTAATGGTACTACCATACCAGTTCTTTCCTCTGGTCATTCCTCTATTCCTACTCAATCTCGTTTACTTCATTTGAAAATGTGCTTGTTGCTCCTAATATTGTCAAAAACCTTGTTTCTGTTCGTCGTTTCACGACTGATAACTTGTGTTCTGTTGAGTTTGACCCATTTGGTTTCTCTGTGAAGGATCTGCAATCTCGGAAAACAATTCTCCGCAGTGATAGCACAGGTGACCTGTATCCAGTGCCTTCCACTTGGCATAGGCGCTTGATTCACACAAATAATAGCACTCTCCATTCTCTCATTTCTTCTGGTTTTATTTCTTGTAATAAAGACAACTTGCTTTCATGTTGCAGTGCTTGTCAAATTGGGAAACACATTAAAATTCCTTTTCAGAAATCATCTACTCAAACCAGTAAACCTTTTGAAATTGTTCACAGCGATATCTGGACCTCTCCGGTTCCCAACATTACTGGCTGTCGCTATTATATTCTTTTCTTAGATGATTTCACTCACTATCTTTGGGTTTATCCACTTCGCAGGAAAAGTGATGTTTTCTCAAAAATTTTACACTTTGAGGCCTATGTCAACACTCAATTCAAATCAAATATAATGAGTCTTCAATGCGACAATGGGGGTGAATACAATAACTCTTTCTTTCATGATCACTTCTCTAAAAAGGGCATTATTTTCAGGTTTTCTTGTCCTCATACATCCCAACAAAATGGCAAGTCTGAGAGAATGATACGTACTCTAAATAATGCCATACGCACTCTGTTATTTCAGTCTCATTTAGCTCCTTCCTACTGGGTTGAAGCTCTCCATGTCGCAGCTCATGTACTCAACATCTTACCGTCCTCTTCCATAGGTAATAAAACACCTCACTTCTGTCTCTTCAAAAAACGGCCAACTTACTCTCACCTTCGAATATTCGGGTGTCTCTGTTTTCCAAACATTAACATCTCAACCACAAACAAGCTTGCTCCTCGCTCAACTCCATACTTGTTTCTTGGATACCCTACTAATCACAGAGGGTACATATGTTTAGACCTCAAAACTAATCGTATCATCTTGTCTAGACATGTGGTTTTTGATGAAAACACTTTTCCAAAAGCAGAGAAAGCCTCACAAAATTCCAGTGTCTTTGACTTTCTTGAAACAGATTCTCGTTTTCCTATTTTTCAACAAATTCTTCAGGGGACGCAATCTTTCTCTACGCCCTCTCACTTGCCGGCTCCGTCTCAAACTCAGCCATCATCCCTTCCGGCTCAGAGAATGATGACGCGAAGTCAAGAAGGTATTCACAAACCAAAGAAATCTTACTCTCTATACACCTCTTATGTGTCTAGACTACCTACAAACCACCAAAAAGCTTTAGGTGATCCGAACTGGAATCCTGCTATGACGGAAGAGTACGATGCTCAAATTAAAAATAAGACTTGGAGTTTAGTACCTAGACCTTATGGAGCTAACATTATTAATTCTTTGTGGCTGTATAAGTTGAAACATGATGCAGATGGTGTTCCTCGACGACACAAAGCTCGCCTGGTCGCAAATGGAAAATCTCAACAAGCCGGTGTTGACTACGATGAGACATTCAGCCCAGTTGTAAAACCAGCAACAATCAGAACCGTCATTAATCTAGCAGTCTCTCGTGGTTGGGATATGCGCCAGTTAGATGTCAAGAATGCCTTCCTCCATGGCACAATCTCAGAAACCATCTATATGCATCAACCACCGGTGTTCGTTGATAAAGACAATCCACACCATGTATGCAAGCTAAACAAAGCCCTATATGGTCTCAAACAAGCACCACGTGCTTGGAATGCTCGGTTTGCTTCTTTCCTCACACGCCTTGGCTTTACTACTTCCAAGAGTGAATCCTCTTTGTTCGTATATCGCAATGGCAGCAACCTAGCATATCTCTTACTTTATGTAGACGATATAACACTAACGGGTTCCTCTCAGGCACTTGTTTCAGGAATAATCTCTCAACTGAAACAGGAATTCCCGATCACAGACATGGGCCGCCTTCACTACTTCCTTGGAGTCAAAGTAGAATACAAAAACTCTGGAGTACTTCTCACACAACAACAATATGCCAAGGAAATCATTTCACGAGCCGGTATGTCCGAGTGCAAGCCAGTCTCTACTCCGGTTGATGTGAACTCCAAACTAAAGGCGGACTCTGGAAAACCGATCAAGAACCCGAAAGAATACAGAAGCTTGGCCGGGGCTCTCCAATATATGACCTTCACAAGACCGGATATCGCTTATGCAGTTCATCAGATTTGCTTGTACTTGCATGATCCCCGCGATATACATATGGCAGCTCTACGCCGCATCATTCGATACATACAAGGTACAACTTCACATGGTCTACAAGTCTACAAGACAAACCCAAATACTCTCTACGCTTACACTGACGCAGACTGGGCTGGTTGTCCCGACACGCGTCGCTCTACCTCCGGTTATGCCATCTTTCTTGGAGACAACTTAATATCATGGTCATCGAAACGCCAACAAACTGTCTCCCGCTCCAGTGCCGAAGCAGAGTATAAAGGAATAGCCAACGCAGTTGCAGAGACTTGCTTCCTACGTAACCTTTTACTCGAGCTACATTGTCCCCTTCGAACTGCTACACTGGTGTACTGTGACAACATAAGCTCAGTTTATCTATCCTCCAATCCAGTGAAGCACCAACGAACCAAACACATCGAGATTGATCTTCACTTTGTACGCGAGAAGGTAGCTATTGGACAAGTCAAGGTTCTCCACGTTCCATCTTCCCTCCAGTACGCTGACATCTTTACAAAAGGCCTTCCAACATCCTTGTTCAATGATTTCAGATCCAGCTTGACTGTTCGCTGCGCCAACAATCTCACTGCGGGAGGGTGAAAGAATATGCCAATATTCTAATTTGATCTAGTCTAATCTGCTCATAGATACTCCTATTTCTGTGGATCTCACAACTGTAATTAGCTTAAATAGCCTTCTCATTGTACGTAATTATTCAAGGAAGTATATACAAACTTTCAAAATCTTGGTGGAGATAAAGCTTCTAACAACAGAGAGCTACTCAGACAAAATTCGATACATAATCGGAAGATCAACAATCCAAATAAAACAATCAGAAACTTTATTTCATTCAACCCAAAACGAAATTGAAGAGTTAAGCTAAGACAATTCGTTTTGAGTTGAAACACATCTAAATCGATCTATTTTAGATCGAAAATATAGTAATTACATAAAAAAAAAAACAAAAAAAAAAAACTCTCTCCCTTACTAATCTAACTCATACCCTAATGAAAAATTGTTGGGAGCGATTAGTTGAAATGTAACTGTAAATATTTTACATAGAATTTAGTATATAGAATTTTTAGATGTATCTTTATCTAACGTAGTTATAGAAATTAAATGAGAAAAATGGAAAAAAAACAATATTTTTTGTTTTAGAAAATAATATTTACAATTTTTTTTTTACTTTAACTCTAAAAACCAATTAAAACATGATTAATGATTTATATGATTGTAAACAGAAAATAAAGCTAAAATCATTAGTTAAATCTCAATCAATCACCTCTTGTTTGGTAAGAGGGTGAGAGTCAAAAGAAAAATCTCTCTCTAGGAGAGGAGTATTTAGAGTTTGACTGGTTCAAACGCAGCGGTTGCGGTTGCGGGAGTTTACGTATGCAAAGAGTTGCGATTTCTTGTGGTTTTAAGAGATTTGTATGATTGGTACTTTCGGAATATTTATGACTGGTTAACTATCAAATGCAGTAGCAGTTAAAATATAAATTAACAATTTTTACCTTTTTATAATTATAAAAATATCAAAAATCTTAATATTATAATAAATAAAAAATTGTACTTATAAATTTATATTTTTAAAATTTTAAAATTATTAAAAATATTTTTATTTAAAATTTTATAATATTTATAAAATATAATAGATATATTTTAGTATTTTTATAATTCTAATTTAAAAATTTTATTGAATATTTTTATTTGTATATTGTTTAAAAAAGTTATCCTCCCGCAATCGTCCGTAATCGCAAACGCTAGTTGCAACTAGCTTTTGAATTTAAAAAGATTAGAAAGATTTAAAGTGGTTTAGAACGGTTTGAATAATTGTTACAAAACGCCAACAACCGTCACCGATTAGTCACCAACAATCGTAAAGCTACGTTTGCGAATGATAGCGGAGAAACCCGTCATATTTTTAATGAGTGTCAATTTTATTGACTTCTCATGGAGTTACTACTAGGTAAACTTTTCAATAAGTTTATTTTAAAGTAATTTAATGTCATTAAGAAAATGCATCTCCAAAGCTTTCAACATGTCTTCCTTTTCTATGGCACCACCAAAGCTATACATTACACTTCTTACTCGATAAAAGTTCATCTTAGAAAAAAAAAAAGCATAGATCACTAGATATTGTCACTCGTAAGTATCTCAAATTCTTAAACCACAGCTTCATTATAATTAGCTTCATGATTAAAAGTAGATAAAAAACTTATCACAGGATAAAGAACAAAAACACTTCAACACAGCATGGGAAGACTTACAGAAGCAGAGAGTATAACACAAGTGAGATGAGAAGCGAGAGAGGTTAACTGAAGTCAACAAGTGCAACAAAGAGGTTTCACAACACACAACAAACAGCTTTCATACAACACACATAACAAAAGAAACTGAACCGAGGTTGTTCTTTGTTTACGCAGCTTCTGCGAAGCCAACCTGCTCGTTGCCGAAGTCAAAGACAGTGTGGTATCGTCCCATAAACACATCTCCCAGTATCCTGCCCCCAAAATCAAGATTTAGATGAATATCAACACTCATACTGTTAGGACTTCCATTTTTCTTTGCATTTCCATTTAGAGGTAAGGTATATTTTTCTTCACAACAATAAACATTTTAAACTAAATTGATTTGTTAGTGGTGACGTAAACGCCAAATGAACTCATCAAGTATGTGAATGTTTTTTTATGCAGAGAGAATTACCAGAGAGGTCCACGAGGTGGAGGCAAGTCAAGCGCGGTAAAGCCACTGATGCATTGTGCCACTGGTCCTTCCCCAATCTTAAGTACGTACTATTAATCCCACAAAAAAATATGTTCAGAATGTTACACGGACTATCTTGATACGATTATAATACAACAGGCTCTCAGGCCTCAAACATATATTATACCTCTTCTGGAGCAAGATCAAAGACTTTGCCTCCAATGGTGAACGAAACAGTTGGCATTTTAGAGAGTTGTGAGCAGTCAACTGCAGACTCTCCGTTAGGACTGGGCATGCGTTCGCACATCTGCAGAATTTTTTCAGGATTGTATGATCATAAAAAAGAAGAATCTCATTGCTATATTTCAAGAACACAATATATATTGTTATTATTGTGATGGAAACTTTCTTCTTACGTCGTTAATGTAGTTCACTATACGCGCTTGAGTCATGTTCTGCATTAATTGGCTCTGTATCCACACAACAGCCATTTCACATGGAGCACAACCAGCATCCCGAATACCACTAGATGATTTTTTGTTATCCACGTCCACCACCGACTCAATTCCCATGCTATATTAACACAACAATACTCAGATGACGCGAAAATGTGTGTAAATAATTGTTATGTATTTAGATATTGAGACTTAACCTGACTCCATGGGTGCCATCGAATGTGCAAAGACCTATTTGTGAGCAGATCTTCTTTGGTTGAGCCTGAAAGGAGCAAAAAAGTTGTATATAAGAATAAACATATGCTTTCTAGCCGGTTTTCTAAGTTCATCACTACCAAGTATTCTTACGTTAGCCAAAAGTAAATCCAAAATGGTCTGTCCATAAAGATCAACAACAGTCTTGCATCGCTGGCTAGCAACTCCAGATGCTCCAATAGCTTTGTTTATCATGGCAATCACAGCCTAGACAGAAAAAAAAAGTTGTGAATTTCAAGATGAAATGCTACAAGATCCTAGATGATTCTTGCTTACTGTTGGCCCTGCAAGTAAAGATGTTCCAGAATCTGCAATCGCAGAACAACCACTTCCACAGTATCCTATTATAAGAACAGAATCATACGTAAGTGGTCTGAAAGTAAAGACAACACTAAGGATGAAAAGTAAACAATATAACAACTAATACACGTACCAGTAGATTTTCCGGCAATGAGAACCTCACCCATTTCGAACTATTACCAAAATAGTAACTTAAATGAGACGTAACTTATAAACATCCATTGGAAATCAAGAACACTAAACAAGGAATAAACCTGCCAGTAACCCCTTTGTGTTACAGGAACATATGTGTGTTCTCCTTTGAAATGCTTTGGGTCAACACCACCAAATACAAGTTCACCGCCTTCTTCACTTTTCGGGTCACGGTTAAGCCAAAATGAAAACACTGGTTTCTTGATAAGGCCTTGCTTGAGCATATTGTACCTGTAAGAAACAAAAATTTGTTGTCAGCACATCAACATCAGAGGAGTGTTTAGTATATATAACTAATCTCAATCCCTAACGATACAAAACTGTCGTACCAAACAGGAGTGGCGTTTCCAACAGAGATCTCTTGGAATCCAAGACCAAGGAGACCATCAAATTTAGCCACCAAGAAGGTTAAACCAGGCTCACTAGTTGCCTCAATAAACTCCTGATCAACATAAGCAATGTACACAAAGTAAAGTCAACGTATCAGTAGAAAAAAAATATAAGCATTAAAAAAAAAAAATACGAATAGATAATAACTTGCCTGATTTTTGACAACTAAGTCACCAACCGTGACAGCATCATAACTAAAGAAACCAGAGATTGATCCAGAGCCGTAATGGATTGCTGCACGTGTTCCTGGGAGAACACACAATCTTTAGAGCTTATTATAACATCGATACCATCGTAGGGGCAAGTAAAAAAACGAAAAATCAAAAAAGATAAACGTACCATGCTTCTTGTAAGTGCTTGAACGCGAGGACTTGTACTTGGCATGAAAGAAACAAGACAGCTAGACAAATGTAAAGAACACAACAAGATTTCTCTTACTCTAAATCACATTTCAAAAATATTGTAAACCAAATGCTAAAAAAAAGAAAAGCTTACCGAGAAATAACATTTCCCTGATGGTACCCAAAGGTTAGAGCTTCCCGTGTCAAAAATCACAGTGAACTTCTGCGGTGGAGTACCTATAGCAATCTCACCATAGTACTGAGCATCCAAGTAATTCTTCAATGCAACGATATCAGCATCTCCAGAGCCTCCAAGATTGTTGTCTTTTGAGCGGAACTCATTTAAAGAAGATCTAAGGGACTCTTCTTGCTTGGAACCAAAGCGTGTGGCAAGTCGATTGTTAGGATCCAACTTGAGTTTTTTCAGGCCAACTCTTACTGTTCCGTCATTGCTCTCAGAAGAGGCGTAGAAAAACAACAAGAATGATATAAAGAAGGACGCAAACGTTCTTGAGTGTACTCCCATCTTTCACCAATTAACTAGTTGACATCAAACACCAAAAACCAGACGGACGCAGTTTAAATGAGTTACATGAACATGCAACTCAACAATTAACTAGTTACATGAAAATGCAACTCAACTATCAATGCTTTTTACAGAAGAAGAAACAAATTAGTTGTAGATGACTAGATGTTGAGTTTAAACCAAATCGAGAATAAAAGGATTATGATGTCAAAGAGACTTTAGACAACGATAATTTTTTATATTTAAACTAATCTCGTCCCAATATAAGAAAATATTTATTCAGAAAATCCTAATTTAACTGCATATTAGCAACAAAGTAGACATTTTGATTAATTAATCAAAGCAAATAACCTGATGACAGCAAAATCAAGAATCATTCATTAAAAAACAAGAATAAAGACCGCATCAGCTTGATGAAATAGGGGATCACTAACCTCACTAAGCGACACTAAGGTTGCAGAATCAAACAAACCTTAAAATTCCAGATACTTAAATAAGAAGACAAGGGGTACATCACAAAACAGACATGCAGAAAAAAAAAACATTCAAGAACACTTTATACAAGAGAAACTAATCACCGATCATGCAAAATACAATCACTCCTATCTAAGAACATCGAAGAGACAACACATAGTTGTGTGCTGATAGATAAAACTGATATGAAAGAGACTTTAAAAACGAGAAATGATAATGAGATCAATATGATTGTTACAGACTTACAGTGTAGAAATCAAACTCGCTAGAGAGTTAAACACTCACCAGAGGGTTCAGGAAATTTCTCAGAATCATATGAGATTTCAATATGGAAGAAAAGATTGCCAATATGTTGCCACGACATTCACAGCGGGTCCCACATAACAAGCCACTTGGCTGTTAGTTTAAAGATTTAACCGTTGACGATGTGATAAGTTATGGCCCACCAACTTCGTTTCTGTATCAAGATGTTTGTACCTGTAACTTAATTTTAGGGTGGGCACAAACTTGAGTACTTGTATTTTCGATATATTAGTATTCAGTTTGGCTTATACAAATGTTCAAATTTTGAAATTGTACTCGTTTGTTAAAATGAGTATTTGTAATTTCAATTATTTGCGAAAATTGATAGACATACAAGTTACTTACCTTGTTTTATTACTTGTTATTTGTAAACTTTTTTATAAATTACTTAATAACTATTGGTAAATTATTTTATAATTAATTAAAATTTAAAATTAAATAAATTTATTATTTATAAATAATATGTTATTGTTTTCATTTTGTCATTGTTTTCTTCTGATTTTAAGTCATTCATGAAATATATTAACAAAAACGAATAATAAAACCAAACAAAGCTGAATAGTTAGTTGTATTTTATTATTTTGTATATATTTGTATTTGAAAACAGTTTAAATAGATTACTTGATACACGTCTTAGTTAAAATAAGTATTCGACTTTAAAAAATCATGTACCAACCAAATAGTGGATATGAGACAAGTAACAAGTAACTGTGACCACACATAAAATACATAAATTTTAATTAATTAATAAAATATATACTAAGTATTTAATAAACCAAGTAATATATGAAAAGTAACAAATAAAGGATAACAAGTAAAAAACCAAGTAGTTAAAAATTAAAATGAACTTGATACTTAACTTGTACTAGCGAGTAATAAAATCCGTTTACTTGTTACTCGATCGACTTGATTGGAGCAAATACTTATTTTTCAAAACAAACCGAATTAAGTAGCGAATACATGCCGAGTATCAAGTTTTTGTGACCAACCCTACTTAATTTACGTGCTCTTTCGAATTCTTCAACTGTTGATTAGACACTATCTTAGGTTTATGTTTATAAAGATAAACTATGGGTTATGTGCCTTCAAAAATACTTAACCCACAAATTTGAGAAATAGATGTATAAGAAATTAGAAATCACGCAATTGGGGTACCCTTCTCCTTGTATGACACATTTTGATGGTGATAGAGATAAACACACTTTCTCCCTATAGATCAAACTACTTTTCGTAATACAATAGTTCGTAGTTCAAATGTATAGAAACTGAATTGAAGAAAGATTCTAAACGCAATGAACAAGAGTTTACACATAATTATACAAGATTCAAGAAGAAAACACATTTTTAATGCATTGTAATTAAGAGTTAAAACAGAGTTTTATAATCCATTTCTTTGTCACGAAACTCGGACACATGTTATTATTTTATTTGTTTCAACTGCTAACAATCTTTAACATTGCAACTAACTTGTCACGTCATCTCTCTCATTTCTTTTGTAACAAATCCCCACTCTTCAAAGAAACTTGCCCATAAGATTCAAAGACCAATCTCGAGGAACTTCTTCTGCAATTCAAAAAGATATTTCCATGTAGCTTATTTTACATTTGACCCAACCATTGAACTAGCACTTGTGTAGCTGCACGTCCCTGCCTCTTTACCATTTTGTGTTCCAATATCGCTTCTAGTTTTCTTTAAGATCACCACTCACAATAGATGGTAACTGGTTTGTCGTAGACATATCCCCTACTGCTCTTTTTCAGTTGAGAGACATGATATATTGAGTGAATCTGAAACGTTGAGGTAACCTCAATTTAGAAGCCACTTGACCAATCTTATCTGTGATGCAGTAAGGACCGAAGTACTACTCGGAGAGCTTCTGACTAGTCCTCTGAACCACTGTTTGTTGCCTATAAAGTTGTAGCTTCACATAGACCTAGTGCCCCCACTTCAAAACTCCTCTCTGATCTATGTAAATCTGCTTGCTGCTACCTTTTTGACAATTCACAAGTTGTAGCTTGACCCCAGTTTGGGACTTCTCAAGTCACTCCTATAAAGATCCCGCATTCTATGGTGTGCTCTGAGAAGATGAAACTTTAAACCAATAACATCTTTTCTCGATCCTCAAACATTTAGCTACCAACTAGTCTTCAAAATTCACCTGGAAGATAGGGCAAGTTCACTGGTGGACTTTGACCGTAGACAGTTTCATATGGAGTGACGTGTGTTGCTGTATGAGAGTTAGTATTGTACCAAAATTCAGCAAGCGATAGCTATTTGCTCCACATGTAGTATCACTTGTCACACACCTGAGATACGTCTCTACACATCTGTTTACCACTTCAGTCTGAGCATCACTTTGGAGATGATAAGCCGTAGACATGTTAAGAAAACACCCTTGCAGCTTGAATAGTTCAGGCCAAAACTCATTGAGGAAGACTAAGTCTCTATCACTGACAATCGATCAAGGAAACCCACAGAGCTTAAAGACATTGTCTAAGAACACTTGAGCCACTGTTGCCGCTGTATAAGGATGAGCTAAAGCCATGAAATGAGCTGCTTTACTCAAACGATCCACCACCACATAAATGACTGTCTTACCATAAGAATTTGGTAAACCATCAACAAAGTCCATTCAAATGTCTATCAAGACCACTTCAGGGATGGGTAAAGTTTGCAACAGACCTGGTGATGCAGCACCATCATACTTACATTGCTGGCAAACTCTGCAGTTTCTGAGATAAGCTTGTATATCTTTAATAAGCCCGTTTTAATATAACAATCCTTTAACACATTGTCTTGTCACTTCTCTTATAGAATCACCCCCTTGACCAGACCCATGTTTTTGATCTCCACATCATTTGGGACCACTATTTTACTTCCTCTTCTTAATACGTTTTGTACCCAAGTATACTTCTTCTCTTCTATCGGATTCTGCAATTTCTCAATCAACTCTTTTGTATGATTATCCAATAGATATGCATCTTGTATTCTATTCATAAGATCACAATCGAACACCATCATAGCCATATGCAAAATCTCTGTTCCTTCAACTCTAAACAAAGCATCAGCTGTAGCGTTATCCTTCCCTTGTTTGTATTGTATTTAATGACCAAACTCTAGTAGTTGCGGTAACCATTGCTGCTGAATGGGAGGGTTCAACAAGTATTTCAAGCTTCTTTGATCCGCTTTGATCACAAAGTGATTAGTAAGCAAGTAATGCCTACACTTTTGCACTGCAAAAACCACTACCAACAACTCTTTCTCCTAAATGGAAGATTAAGTTGTTAACCCTTCAAATGTCTACTGGTATAATGATATCACTCAAATTACCCTATGATCAACTTTACTCTATCAAATAAGAGGTTCAGTTGTATTATCTAGGGATCAAATTCACAAAGAGTGTGGGCACACAATAGACTTATAAAAATTAAGATTAAGCTAGGAAACAGTTCTAAACCAGTAAATAACAAGAGATCAATTGAAAATTGGTTTGTAAACTTATGAAATAAATAGTTAGACTTAGGGTTTCAGGTTATAGTATTGTTTATATAGATGCTAAAGGTATATGGTAAACCGTCCTATAACTCGATGTATAATGCAAAAGATAACCAGTTTTCATTGTGAGTCTAATCTATTGACTAAGTCTAGTGTTTTAGCTGTCGCATGTCGACACGGATCGAGTGTCGGTTGATACTATCGTGCAAGTATCGATCAACATTTCCTTAGGCAAATGTTACCTATCTGATCGATTTGTTCACTAGTTTCACATGATCAGCTGTCGCATGTTTCTATTAATCCTAGCTTAGTAGAATTATAATTAAGTATAGAACTTACCCTCGTATTTACCTATATTCGAAGTTCAGGGTTCTAGTTATATAAGTTCATATTAAATAACACACAATGTGTTTTCTTATATAATATAGTTATACAAGTGTTTCAGTTATTGGTGATTTTAAAACTTGAATCCTATATAATGTTTTAACGTATATACTTTTTTTACAATGCTTTGTGATTATATGTTTAAAATTTCTGAAAACAAAAAAAAAAACTCAATACAAAAAAAAATTTAACATTACAAATATTTTCAAAATATTTCTGTATGTTATAAATATTTTAACAAATAATCTTTCAGTCTCTACAAATCTAGAACTTATCAAATAAATAACAATATTTTTTAAAGATATTGAATAGAAGCAAATTCTTCAATAGTATAGGAGTAATAA